ATCCCGGCACCGCCGCCGCCGCCGCCGCCTCCCCGGGGAGGCAGGGCCGGAGCCGCCGGGGGAGGCGGGGGCCGCGGCCGGCCAGGCTGACATCATTCCGGGGAGGAGCGGTCCCTCCCCGCGCCGCGCGGGGGGCGCCGGGCACCCCGAGGGGAGACCCCCGGGAGAGACCCCCGGGAGAGACCCCCGGGAGAGACCCCCGGGAGAGACCCCCGAAGAAATCCCAAATGGGGCCCGGGGGTAGCGGGAAGTGACCCCAGTGTGTCCCCCGAGACGCCCTGGGGGGACCCCAAAGGGGTGCCAGGGGTGGCACAAAGCGACCCCAATGTGTCCCCAAAGGGGTGGCACAAAGTGACCCCAAGGTGTCCCCAAAGGGGTGGCACAAAGTGACCCCAAGGTGTCCCCCGGGACTCCCCAGTGTGTCCCCAAAGAGATGGCACAAAGTGACCCCAGTGTGTCCCCAAAGGGATGGCACAAAGGGACCCCAGGGGGTCCCCCGAGACGCCCTGGGGGGACCCCAAAGGGGTGCCAGGGGAGGCACAAAGTGACCCCAAGGTGTCCCCCGGGACTCCCCAGTGTGTCCCCAAAGAGATGGCACAAAGTGACCCCAGTGTGTCCCCAAAGGGATGGCACAAAGGGACCCCAGGGGGTCCCCCGAGACGCCCTGGGGGGACCCCAAAGGGGTGCCAGGGGAGGCACAAAGTGACCCCAAGGTGTCCCCCGGGACACCCCAGTGTGTCCCCAAAGAGATGGCACAAAGTGACCCCAGTGTGTCCCCAAAGGGATGGCACAAAGGGACCCCAGGGGGTCCCCCGAGACGCCCTGGGGGGACCCCAAAGGGGTGCCAGGGGTGGCACAAAGTGACCCCAAAGTGTCCTCCAAGATGCCCCGGGGTGACCCCAAAGAGGCTCTGGACACGTCCCAAGGGAGCCCAACTGGAGCCACAGGGACACCATGGAGAGGCCCCAAAGGGGTGCCCCAAAGTGACCCCAAGGTGTCCTTGGGGTGACCCCAAACCGCTCCCAGGGTGACCCCAAAAGTGTCCCAGGGATCCCATGGGTGTCCGTGTCCTCGTCCATCCCAGCGTCCCTCTGTCCATCCCTCTGTCCATCCCCGTGTCCATCCCAACATCCATCTGTGTCCATCTGTCCATGATCTCGTCCATCCTGGTGTCCATCCAACAGCAGCTGCACTAATCTCACCATCTGTCAGTCCATCTGTCCATCCCTCCATCCCCCTGTCCATCCCTCTGTCCATCCCTGTCCCTGTCCACCCCAGTGTCCATCTGTCCATGATCTCGTCCATCCTGGTGTCCATCCAACAGCAGCTGCACTGATCTCACCATCCGTCCGTCCATCTGTCTGTCTGTCCCAGCATCCATTTGTCCGTCCATCTGTGTCCATCTGTCCATGATCTCGTCCATCCTGGTGTCCATCCAACAGCAGCTGCACTAATCTCACCATCTGTCAGTCCATCTGTCCATCCCAGCATCCATTTGTCCATCCCAGTATGCATTCATATAGCCCAGTGTCCTTTTGTCCATGCCCCCACCCATCCTTATGTCCATCTGTCCATCCCTCCGTCCCCCTGTCCATCCCAGTGTCCGTCTGTCCATCCTACAATCCTTTCATCCATCATCCATCCATCCATCCATCCATCCATCCATCCATCCATCATCCGTCCATCATCCATCCGTCCCAGTGTCCATCCTTGTGTCCATCTGTCCATCCCAATGTCCATCCATCCATCCTGGTGTCCATCTGTCCATGCCCCCACCCATCCCAGTGTCTGTTCATTCATCCATGACCCTGTCCCTCCCCCATCCATCTGTATCATCCATCCGTCCATCCATCCATCCATCCGTCCATCCATCCATCCATTCCATTGTCCATCCATCCATGCATTCCAGTGTCCATCTGCCATGTCCATCCATCCACCTATTCCAGTGTCCAACCATCCATGACCCTGTCCATCCCAGTGTCCATTTGTCCATCCCAGTATCCATGTGTCCATCCGAACATCCATCCCTCCATCTGTCCACCCCAGTGTCCATGTGTCCACCCCAGTGTCCATCCATCCATCCCACCCCGATCCCTCAGGACCGTCCCCTCTCCCCGCCCCCATTCCCATTCCAGGCGGGATCCCAGGGGGATCTGCGCCCTAAATTGTCCCTGATGGGGACAGCGGGGCTGGGGGGACACCGGGGGACCCCAGACGGCGCTGGGGGAGGGATTTGAGGTCACACGGTGGGACCGGCTTTATCCCACGGGATTCCCATCGGGAATGGGGTGGGGGCTCATTCCCCACATTCCCAGGGCCACCCCAAAGCCACCAAACCCCCCTGGGGGTGGCAGGGGTGACCCCGAGGGGCGAGGGGACAATGCCACCCTCCCCTGTCCGCTGTCACCTCCAGGCGATCGCGGGGACACCCCGGCACTGGCCGGGTGGCACGGTAGGGGGCGCCCTGTGTGTGTGTGGTGACGTCAGGGTCACGCCTACATGGTGACGTCAGGGTCACACCCGGTGTGACGTCAGAGCCCCGCGGCCACATTGGGTGAGGGCAGGGGCAAGGCAGGGGCCACCCCAAAATGGGGACAAAAACCCCAATGTGGGCAAATTCACCCCAATCTGGGCGTTGGAACCCCAAAAATGGGCAGTGACACCCCAAAAATGGACATTGGAACCCCCAAAAATGGGCACTGACACCCCAAAACTGGGAGAAGTCACCCCAGAAATGGGCACAGAAAACCCAAGTTGGGTAAATTCACCCCCCAGTGTGGGAGCTGACACCCCAAAAATGGGCAGTGACACCTCCAAAAATTAACATTGAAACGCCAAAAATGGGCACAGACACCCCCAAAATGAACATTGAAACCCCAAAAATGAACATTGAAACCCCAAAAATGAGCACTGAAACCCCAGAAAATGGGCACAGACACCCCAAAAATGGGCACAGACACCCCAAAAATGAACATTGAAACCCCAAAAATGAGCACTGAAACCCCAGAAAATGGGCACAGACACCCCAAAAATGGGCACAGACACCCCAAAACTGGGAGAAGTTCTGTGCCCCAGAAATAGGCACAGAAAACCCCAAACTGGGCACTGATATCCCAAAATGGGATCATTCACCCCAAAACTGGGCACTGAACCCCAGAACTGGCCAAATTCACCCCAAACTGGGTGAATTCACCCCAAACTGGGCACAGAAACCCCAAACTGGGCAAATTCACCCTAAAACTGGGCACTGGCATTCCAAAAACTGGATCAAGTCACCCCAAACTAGGCAAATTCATCCCAAACTGGGAAAATTCCTCTGAACTGGGTGAATTCATCCCAAAAAACTGATACAGTCACCCCAAACTGGGTCTGGTCACCCCAAAACTGGACAAATTCACACTAAAACTGGGAAAAATCACCCCAATCTGGGTCCAGTCTCCCAAAACTGGGAAAAATCATCCCAAAACTGGGAAAAGTCATACTAAAACTGGGAAAATTAATCCCAAACTGGGAAAATTCACCCCAAAAATGGATAGTTAGTCCCAAACTGGATCAGGTAATCTCAAACTGGGGAAATTCCCCCAAACTGGGAAAATTCACCCCAAAACTTGGTCCAGTCACCCCCAAAATGGGTCTGAGCACCCCAAAACTGGACAAATTCACCTCAAACTGGGAGCAGACACCCAAGAATTGGACATGGGAACCCAAAAACTGGAACTTCTCACCCCAAACTGGGCAAATTCAGCCCAAAACTGGATCCAGTCACCAAAAAACTGGAACCAGTCATCCCAAACTGGGAAAATTCCCCCAAAACTGAGCAAATTCATCCCAAAAATGTATCCAGTCACCCCAAAACTGGACAGATTCACCCCAAATTGGGAGCAGACACCCAAGAACTGGACATGGAAACCCAAAAACCGGAGCTGGTCACCCCAAACTGGACAAATTCACCCCAAAAACGGATCCAGTCACCCCAAACTGGGCAAATTCCTCCCAAAACTGGGAAAATTCCCCCCAAACTGGGAAAATTCCGATCCCGTGGAGATGCCAGGATCGTTGGGATGAGGTTTTCCATCAACCCCTTCATGCCAGAACGGTTTGGGTTGGGAAAAAATTTTTTAAAAAAACCAAAATCCCTCAATTCTGGGCAGGAACTCCGGGACTTTTTTCCCTTCCCCCGTGGAATTCCCCATGGATTCAGCCCCCAGGGGGACCTCGGGGGGTGTCGGTGACACCCGGGGGTGACTCAGGCCGGACGTTCCCCAATATCCGGGGCCGTGGGAAGGGGGAAGGAAACGGGAATTGCGCAAGGGGGAACGAGGGGTGACTCAGGTGGGGACGGGAATTCCCAGCAGGGAACGGATCCCAAATGGGGGCCTGAGTGTTCCCACGGGGACCCCAGACCCCAAATACCCCGGGCTGGGGAGGATTCGCCCGCTTTGGGGTGAATTTGGCCAATTTTGGGGTGAATTTGTCCAGTTAGGGGGAATTTGCCCAGTTTTGGGATGCATTTTCCCAATTTTGGGATGAATTTTCCCAGTTTGGGGTGACTGGATCCATTTTTGGGGTGAATTTGCCCAGTTTTGGGATGCATTTTCCCAATTTTGGGATGAATTTTCCCAGTTTGGGGTGACTGGATCCATTTTCGGGCTGAATTTGCCCAGTTTTAGGATGCATTTTCCCAATTTTGGGACACATTTCCCCAGTTTGGGGTGACCAGACCTAGTTTTGGGGTGACTGGATCCAATTTTGGGATGCATTTTCCCAGTATTGGGATACATTTCCCCAGTTTGGGGCGACCAGACCCAGTTTTGGGGTGAACTTGTCCAGTTTTGGGGTGACCCAACCCAGTTTTGGGGTGACCGGATCCAATTTTGGATTGAATTTGCCCAGTTTGGGGTGAATTTGTCCAGTTTTGGGGTTTCTGTACAGTTCGGATACATTTCCCCAGTTTGGGGCGACCAGACCCAGTTTTGGGGTGAACTTGTCCAGTTTTGGGGTGACCCAACCCAGTTTTGGGGTGACTGGATCCAATTTTGGATTGAATTCACTCAGATTTGGGGTGAATTTGCCCAGTTTTGGGGTTTCTGTGCCCGGTTTGGTGTGTCTGCTCCCAGTTTAGGGTGAATTTGTCCACTTTTGGGGTGACAGGATCATTTTTGGGGTGAATTTTCCCAGTTTTGGGGTTTCTGTGCCCGGTTTGGTGTGTCTGCTCCCAGTTTAGGGTGAATTTGTCCACTTTTGGGGTGCCCGGATCCATTTTTGGGGTGAATTTTCCCAGTTTTGGGGTTTCTGTGCCCAGTTTGGGGATGTCTGCTCCCAGTTTAGGGTGAATTTGTCCAGTTTTGGGGTGCCCGGATCCATTTTGGGGTGAATTTTCCCAGCGTGGATGAATATCCCCTTGGGGGAGCCCATTCCAGGGATTCCCAACCCTCTTAAGGAGCGAGAACCCCAAAGAGGAAAAGAGAGAAGCAGGATGAAGCCAGCACCCCAAAAATTCCAGGGAATTTGGGTTTTCCCTGTGGATTGCCCATCCCTGGAAGCGTCCAAGGCTGGACATTGGGGTTTGGAGCCACCTGGGAATGGCACTGATGGGATTTGGGGTCGCTTCCCAGCCCAAAGCATTCCGGGATTCCCGGAGAAGCCGGGGGGACCCTCCCGGGCTGGGGTTGGGATCGGGGAGTTGGATCCCACCGGGATTCCGGGGTTTCTCTGGGATTTCCGTGTCTGAGGGTGGGAGAAGTGAGCTGGGGTGGGACTGTGGGGACAGGGACACAGGGATTGAGGGAGACAGGGACAGGGACACAGGGATTTAGGGATACAGGGATTTAGGGACACAGGGACAGGGACACAGGGACAGGGACACAGGGATTTAGGGACACGGGGATTTAGGGACACGGGGATTTAGGGACACGGGGACACGGGGATTTAGGGACGGAGACAGGGAGTTAGGGGGAGATTTAGGGACGCACACAGGGATTTAGGGACACGGGGACACAGGGATTTAAGGACACAGGGACAGGGACACGGGGATTTAGGGACACGGGGACACAGGGATTTAGGGACACGGGGATTTAGGGACACGGGGACAGGGACACGGGGATTTAGGGACACGGGGATTTAGGGACACAGGGACAGGGACACAGGGACAGGGACACAGGGATTTAGGGACACGGGGATTTAGGGACACGGGGACACAGGGATTTAGGGACACAGGGACAGGGACACATGGATTTAGGGACACGGGGATTTAGGGACACGGGGATTTAGGGACACGGGGACACGGGGATTTAGGGACGCGGGGATTTAGGGACGCGGAGATTTAGGGACGCGGGGACTGGGACAAGTTCAGTAATAGGGACAGGGACAAGGATGGGGACACAATCAGGGACAGGGACCAGTCCAGTGACAGCATCGGGATTGGGGACAGGGACAGACTGGGACAGAGTCAGGGACAAGGACAGGATGGGGACAGGATTCGGGACACAATCAGGAACCAAGTCAGGGACAAGGATGGGGACAGGATCAGGGCAGACAGGGACAGGGACTGGTCCAGTGACAGATTCAGGACTGGGGACAGGGACACGGATGGGGACAGGATCAGACAGGGACAGAGTCAGGGACAAGGACAGGATGGGGACAGGATTCGGGACACAATCAGGAACCAAGTCAGGGACAAGGATGGGGACAGGATCAGGGACAGACAGGGACAAGGACCAGTCCAGTGACAGCATCAGGATCAGGGACAGGGACAGAGTCAGGGACACGGATGGGGACAGGATCAGACAGGGACAGAGTCAGGGACAAGGACAGGATGGGGACAGGACTGGGGACCAGTGACAGCATCAGGATCAGGGACAGAGTCAGGGACAGGATCAGGATCAGGGGCAGGATCAGACAGGGACACGGATGGGGACAGGATCAGACAGGGACAAGTTCAGCAGCAGGTTCAGGACTGGGGACAGAGATGGGGACCAGGATGGGGACAGACACAGGGACAGGTCCAGTGACAGGATCAGGAAGAGAAACCGAGACAGGGACAAGGATGGGGACAGAATCAGGGACAGGGACCAGTCCAGCGACAGAATCAGGACTGGGGACAGGGACAAAGATGGGGACAGGATTGGGGACACCATCAGGAACAGAGTCAGGGACAAGGACAGGATCAGGGACCAGTCCAGTGACAGCATCAGGATTGGGCATGGGGACAGGGACAAGGAGGGGGACAGGATCAGACAGGGACAGGGACAGGATCAGGAGCAAGGATGGGGACAGGATCAGGGACAGAGTCAGGGACAGGGACCAGTCCAGTGACAGAATCAGGACTGGGGACAGGGACAAAGATGGGGACAGGCTTGGGGACAGGATCAGGGACAGAGTCAGGGACAGGGACCAGTCCAGTGACAGAATCAGGACTGGGGACAGGGACACGGATGGGGACAGGCTCAGGGACACACAGGGACAGAGTCAGGGCTGGCCGCAGGGTCCAGCCCCCTCATCCCCTGCCTGTCCCCAGGGCGGGCTGGCTGTCCCCTGGGGGCGTGGGGACACGCGTGACGCCGGGCGGGTGGCACCAGCGGGGTTCCTGTTCCCCGGCGGGCACGGAGCAGGAAGCGGGGCCGGCACCGTCCCTGTCCCCAGCGTGTCCCCAGGGCCATGGCCAACAGCCCCGACCTGTACGAGACCCTGGAGATCCGGTACCCGCCCCCCCGGGCCCGCGGGGACCCCGGGCCGCCGCCACCGGCGATGTCCCCGCGGTGTCGCGCGTGTCGCCGGGCGCTGGGCACGGCCGCGCTGCTGCTGCTGGCGGCGGGGCTGGCGGCGCTGGCCGCCCTCTGTGAGTGGGGACAGCGGGGACAGCCACGGGCGGGGGGACACGTGGGAAGGGTGGGAGAGGGGCTGGGAAAGGGGCTGGGCGCGGGGTTGGGAAGGGGGTGGGATTTGGGGGGGGTCTGCGGAGGGGCTGGGAGGAGATGGGAGTGGGGCTGGAAGAGGCTGGGGAGGGGTCGGGAAAGGGACTGGGAATGGGGAGGGGCTGGGAGAGGGGCTGGGGTTTGGGGAGGGGTCGGGAAAGGGGCTGGGAGGGGATGGAATGGGAGAGGGGTTGGGGAGGGGCTAGGGAAAAGGCCGGAAAGGGGCTGGAAGAGGGGTTGGGAAGGGGCTGGGATTTGGGGAGGTCTGGGGAGGGGCTGGGAGGAGATGGGAGTGGGGCTGGAAGAAGCTGGGGAGGGGCTGGGAGGGGATGGACGCGGGAAAGAGATTTTTGGGGAAGGGGTTGGGGTTTGGGGAGGTTCTCGGAAAGAGGCTGGGAGCGGATGGGAGTGGGGTTGGAAGAGGCTGGAGAGGGGTCGGGAAAGGGACTGGGAATGGGGAGGGGCTGGGGAGGGCTGGGAGAGGGGCTGGAGAGGGGCTAGGAAGGGGCTGGGGTTTGGGGAGGGGCTGGGAGGGGGCTGGGATTTGGAGAAGGGTTCGGAAAGGGGCTGGGAAGGGCCTGGAAGTGGGGCTGGGAGTAGGATAGGAAGAGGTTGGGGAGGGTCTGGGAAGGGGCTGGAAGAGGACAGGGACTGGCAGAATGACTGGGAGAGGGGCTGGGAGTGGGCAGGGGGTGGGAAAGGGGCTGGGAGTCAGAAGCGGATGGGGAGGGGGCTGGGAAGGGAGCGGGAACGGGTCTGGGAAAGGGCAGGGACCTGGAGAGGGGCTGGGGGCTTGGGAGGGGTTGGAGAAGGGCTGGGAGTCAGGAGTGGGATGGGGAGGGGGCTGGGAAAGAGCAGAAAGCTGGGAAAGGGAGTGGGAGTGGGCAGGGGGCTGGAGAGGGGCTGGGGGTTTGGGAGGGAGCGGGGAAAGGGTGGGAGAGGGGTTGGGAATGGGGAGGGGGCTGGGAGAGAGAGACGGGGATTGGGGCTGGGGTCTGGGGAGGGATTGAGATGGGGATTAGAATGGGGAGGGGGCTGGGGGGTCCGGGCACGGGCAGGGAGTGGCTGGGGGTCCCGGGCAGGGGGCTGGAGCGGGGGGGGGATCCCGGGCAGGGGTCGCGGGTCCCCTCCCAGCTCTGTCCCCACCCCAAAATGGGCACGGCCAGGCCGGGCTGGGGGGGGTCTCTGGGTCGGGGGTTCCGGGCAGGGGTCGGGAGGAGTTGGGGGGTCCCGGGCAGGGATTGGGGGGCACAGGGACCCCCGAGCAGGGACCCCGGGCAGGGTCGGGGGTCCTGTCACGCCCCTGTCCCCCCCAGACGTGCAGGGCCGGGGGGAGCTGCGGGCGGCGCGGGCGGAGCTGGCAGCGGCCACCGACCCCCTGTGGCACAACCCCGACGGTGAGGGACCCCCGGGGCTGGCGCTGTCCCCAGCCTGTCCCCAGACCCTCCCTGCAGCCCCCGTTCTGCACCCGCTGTCCCCAAACGCCACACACAGCCCCTGCCCCCAAGTCCCGTCCTGTCCCCAAACCCGGACTTGTCCCCAAATCCTGGCCCCTGTCCCCAGCTCCTGTCCCCAAACTGTCCCCAACCCGCAGTGCCTGTCCCTAGCCTGTCCCCACCTGCAGTCCCTGTCCTCTGTCCCCAGAACGTCTCCAGCCCTTGTCCCTGTCCCCAAACCTTGTCCCCAAGTCTTGCCCTCAACTGCTGTCCCCAGACCCAACTGCTGTCCCTGTCCCCATGTCCCCACAGGTGACACCCCTTCAGCGGCACAGCGGCGGCAGGACCAGCTCGGTGGGTGACTGGGGGAGGGAGGTGACAAAGGCGGCCACAAGGGCGGTGGCAGGGCTGTGACAGGGGGCTGTGACAGGTGTGTCGCCGTGTCCCCGCGCAGGGCAGTGGCTGCAGGCGCTGGCGCTGGGCTGGCGCTACCACCGGGGCAAGATTTACCTGTTCTCGGGCCAGCGGCAGCCCTGGGCCGCGGCCGAGGCCGCCTGCGCGGTGACACACGCGCACCTGGCCACTGTCACCAGCGCCGAGGAGCAGGTGAGGCTGGGGACACCCCCGGGGACCGCCACTCCTGTCCTGTCCTGCTCTGTCCCCTCCCACCTGAGCAGCGTCCGCCGGGGCACCTGTAGGGGCCTGTCCCCAAATCCTGCACACAGCCCCTGTCCCCAAATCCTGTCACCAACCCCTGTCCTGTCCCCAAACCCTGTCCTGTCCCCACATCCTGTCCCCAACCCCTGTCGTGTCCCCAAACCCTGTCCTGTGCCCCTTTACCTGCCCGTGCTTGTCCCCAACCCTTGTCACCCACCCCTCCTACCTGCCCCCCCTTCCAGTGTCCCCCCACCTGTCCCTTTGTCCCCTGCCACACTGGCCCGTGTCCCCTCCTCTGCCTCACCTGTCCCCCCTGCCCATGTCCCCTGTCCCACCTGTTCCACTGTCCCCTCACTTGTCCCCTGCCACACTGTCCCATGTCCCGTCCACTGTCTCACCTGTCCCCCCACCCATGTCCCCCTTTTCTGCCCCATCCTCCCTGTTCCCCTGCCCCCTGCCATGTCCCCGTGTCCCCCTGTCCGTGTCCCCCATCCCACCTGTTCCCCTTGCCCCCCTTTCCCTGTCCCCCCTTCCCATGTCCCCTCCCCTGTCTGAGTCCCCCCACCTTTCCCCGTGTCCCCTCCCCTGTCCCCGTGTCCCCTGACCTGTCCCCGTGTCCCCAGGCCTACCTGGCCCGGGAGGCCCGAGGTGGCACCTACTGGATCGGGCTGGCGGCCACGGGCCCGGGGGGCGCCTGGCGCTGGTCGGACGGGACCCCCTATTCCCCCGACCACAGGTGAGCGGGGTGGGGACACCTGGGGACACTTGGGGACACGGCTGTCCCCGAGCGCTGAGCAGGTTCAGTCCCCCAAAAATCAGTGGGATGATCCTCTAAATCCAGTGGGATGATCCCACTAATCCAGGGGGCTCAGATCCCCTAAATCAAGTGGGATGATCCCACTCATATCCAGGATGTTCAATGCCCCAGGAATTAGTGGGATGATCCCATTAATCCTGTGGGATGATCCTACAAATCCAGGGGGCTCAGATCCCCTAAATCCACTGGGATAATTCCTCCCATCCCTATCCAAGGGTCTCACCCCAGCCCCCCAATCTGGGGGGATGATCCCCATCATCCAGAGGGTTCATCATCCCTCCCCCCCCCCCCCCCCCCCCAAATCCCATGGGATGCCTCCCTCCTATCCAGGGAGCTCAGATCCCCTAAATCCAGTGGGATCATCCCACTAACCCAGAGGGCTCAGATTCCCTAAATCCAGTGAGATCATCCTATTCACCCAGTGGGACAATCCCACTAATCCATGGGGCACACCTCCCCTAAATTCAGTGGGTTGATCCCCTAAACACAGCGGGACAATCCCACTAATCCAGTGGGATGATACACTAATCCATGGGACTCAGATCCCCTAAATCCAGTGCACTCGGATCCCCTAAATCCAATGGGATCATGCCACTAATTCAGTAGGATAATCCACTAATCCAGGGGACTCAGATCCCTTAAATCCAATGGGATCATCCTACTAATTCAGTAGGATAATCCACTAATCCAGAGGACTCAGATCCCCTAAATCCAGTGGGATCATCCCACTAATCCAGGGGACTCAGATCCCCTAAATCGGGTTGGCTTGGATCCCCTAAATCCAATGGGATCGTCCCACTATTTCAGTAGGATGATCCACTAATCCAGGGGACTCAGATCCCCTAAATCCAGTGGGATCATCCCACTAATCCAGAGGACTCAGATCCCCTAAATCCAGTGGGATAATCTCACTAATCCAGAGGACTCAGATCCCCTAAATCCAGTGGGATAATCTCACTAATCCAGAGGACTCAGATCCCCTAAATCCAGTGGGATAATCTCACTAATCCAGAGGACTCAGATCCCCTAAATCCAGTGGGATAATCTCACTAATCCAGAGGACTCAGATCCCCTAAATCCAGTGGGATCAATCCCCTAACCATCCAGTGGGGTGATCCCCTAAATCCATCAGGATGACCCCACTAATCCAACTGGATCATCCCGCTAATCCAGCACCCCTAAATCCAGTGGGATGCCCCCCACTAATCCAGGGGGCTGGGATCCCCTAATCCCGCGGGACGTCCCCGCTGACCGGCGCCTTCGGGGCAGTTTCTGGGCTCCAGGCCAGCCGGACAGCACCGACCACGGCCGCTGGGGCGGCGAGCGCTGCGTGCAGATCCACCCGGTGGGCGCGGGGCTCTGGAACGACCACAACTGCAACTTCAGCTTCCCCTGGGTGTGCCAGAGGGACCTCAGCGTCCCCTGAGCGTCCCCGCGGCGGCGGCACCTCGGAGAGTTGTCCCCAAGGAGGGGTTGGGGGGAGCTCTGGGAATTGTGGGGTGATCCCATTAATGCTGGATGATTCCTGGATCTGGGGGATCAGATACCTCCAAAACTGTGGGGTGATCCCAGTCATATCGAGGAGGTTCAATTGCCCAAAAATCAGTGGGATGACCCCTCCAAAACTGTGGGATGATCTCTCCAGAAGAATGGGATAATCCCTCTTACCCTTTCAGATGATCCCTCCCATCCTGTGGGGTGATCCCACTCAATTCCAGGAGGTTCAATCCCCCAGAAATTACTGTGTTGATCCCTCTTTATATTATGGGATGATCCCTCCAAAACTGTGGGATGATCCCTCCAGAGGAATTGGGATGATCCCACTCTTATCCAGGAGATTCAATCCCCCAAAAATCAGTGGGATGATCCCTCCAAAACCTGTGGGATGATCTCCCAAATCCAGAGGGCTCATCCCCCCTATCCAAGGGTCCAGATCCACCCGGTGGGCGCGGGGCTCTGGAACGACCACAACTGCAACTTCAGCTTCCCCTGGGTGTGCCAGAGGGACCTCAGCGTCCCCTGAGCGTCCCCGCGGCGGCGGCACCTCGGAGAGTTGTCCCCAAGGAGGGGTGGGAGGAGCTCTGGGAGTGGGAGGATCTGGGAATTGTGGGGTGATCCCGTTAATGCTGGATGATTCCTGGATCTGGGGGCTCAGATACCTCCAAAACTGTGGGGTGATCCCAGTCATATCGAGGAGGTTCAATTGCCCAAAAATCAGTGGGATGATCCCTCCAAAAAAATGAGATAATCCCCCTTACCCTAGTGGGATGATCCCTCCAAAACTGTGGGATGATCCCTCCAAAAAAATGGGATAATCCCCCTTACCCTTTGGGGTGATCCCTCCTGTCCTGTGGGGTGATCCCTTTTATCCTCTGGGGTGATCATCCCTATCTTGTGGGATGATCCCTCCCAATTGGGTTCACTGGGAGGTGATCCCACTCAATTCCAGAAGGTTCAATCCCCCAGAAATCAGTGGATTGATCCCTCTTTATCCTGTGGGATGATCCTTCCAAAACTGTGGGATGATCTCTCCAGAAGAATGGGATGATCCCCCTAACTCTGTGGGATGATCCCTTTTATTGTGTGGGGTGATCCCACTCATATCTAGGAGTGCCCAAAAAATCAGGGGGATGATCCCTCTAAAACTGTGGGATGATCTCTCCAGAAGAATGGGATGATCCCCCTCGTATCCAGGAGGTTTAATCCCCAAAACCAGTGGGGTCATCCCCCAAAACCAGTGGGATCTCATCCCCCCCATCCAGGGATCTCATCCCCCCATATCCAGTGGGATCAATCCCCTAATCCAGCGGGGTTATCCCCCCTTACCCAAGAGAATCATCCCCCAAAAACAGTGGGTTCATCTCCCATATCCAGAGGGATCATCCCTCCTCTTTAGGGAATTCACCCCCCCCATATCTAGGGATCTCATCCCCCAAATCCAGTGGGATCATCCTCACCCTTTATCCAGTGGGATCATTCCCCCTGTTTAGGGAATTCATCCCCCCAATCCAGACGGATCATTTCCCCTATTAAGGGAATTCGTCCCCCATATCCAGTGGGATCAATTTCCCAATCCAAAGGGATCATCCCCCTTATTTAGGGACCTCATCCCCCCCGGTTAGGGATGTCATCCTCCATATCCAATGGAATCATCCCCTAAAACCAGTGGGATCAATTCCCCAAAACCAGCGGGATCATTCCCCCATTTAGGGAATTCATCCCCCTTATCCATGGGTCTCATTCCCCCTATTTAGGGATCTCATCCCCTCCAAAACCATTGGGATCATCTCTCCTATCCAGGGATCTCAGTCCCCTTAGCCAGTTGGATCCTCCCCCAAAACCAGTGGGATCTCAACCCCCAAAAACAGTGGGATGATCCACCCCCCTCCCATTCAGGGATCTCATCCCCCAAATCCTGTAGGATCATTCTCCATATCCAGTGGTGTCATTGTCACTCTCCAGTGGGATCAATCCCCCAAAACCAGTGGGATCATCCCCCTTATCCAGTGGGATCATCTCCCCTGTTTAGGGATCTCATCCCCCAAAACCAATAGGATCATCCCCCCTTATCCAAGAGAATCATCCCACAAAACCAGCGGGTTCATCCCCCATATCCAGTGGGATCAATCCCCCAATCCAGAGGGATCATCCCCCTTATTTAGGGATCTCATCCCCCAAAACCAGTGGGATCACCCCCCATTATCCAGCAGGATCATTCCCCCTTATTAGGGAATTCATCCCCCATATCTGGGGGTCTCATCCCCCCTCTCCAGTGGGATCAATCCCCCAATCCAGAGGGATCATCCCCCTTATTTAGGGATCTCATCCCCCAAAACCAGTGGGATCATTCCCCCTATTAAAGGAATTCATCACCCATATCCTGGGATCTCATCCCCCAAAACCCATGGGATGCCATGCCCCATAATCAATGGAATCATCCCCTAAAACCATTGGGATCAATCCCCCATATCCATCGGGATCTCATCCCCCATATCCAGGGGTCTCATCCCCCCAAACCTGTGGGGTTATCCCCAAATCCAGTGGGATCTCATCCCTCAGTCCCACGGGATCACCCCCCTTTATCCAGGGATCCCCCAATCCCAGCTGTCCCCAACCCCACCTCTGTCCCCAATGTCCCAAATCCTGGTGTCACCTTCTCCCCATGACCCCAAATCTCTCCCTGGTTAAAGTGTCCCATCCCCCCGCTGTGACATTTTGGGGTCCCCAACACCCCCAATTTGGGAACACTCCCCTCAAATTACTCACAGCTGAGCAGAGAATAAAGTGATTTAAATAACACAAAAGGTAAAAAAAACCCAACAAAATAATCCCCAAATTGCCCCAGATTACACCCAAAATAATCCCAAAATATTCCTCAAATAACCTCAAAAAAAAGAAAAAAAAAAAGAAAAAAAAAAACCAAAATCACAAAATCACTCCCAAATAAGCCCCCAAAACACCAAAAAACAAAAAACACCCCAAAACCCCAAATAGGCCCAAAGTAACACCCAAAACACCCCAACCCCCCTACAAAAATCCCAAAAAACAAAAAAAAAACCCTCCCAAAAATACCAAAATCAAATCCAAATAACTCCAAAATGGCCCCCAACACCCCCAAAAATATCCAAAAAATACAAAAAATACCCAAAAAACCCCCAAAACAAACTAAAAAATCCAAAACAATCCCTAATAACCCCAAAACGGCTCAAAAAAAAAATACCAAAGAACCAAAATAACCTAAAATGCTCCCAAAAATTCCAAGATCTGTAGAACACACATACATAACCCCCCAATAAAATCAATTAAAAAAAAAAAGGCAAAATCAAACAAAAAACAACAAAAAAAAAAAAACAAAAAAAAAACCTCAAAAAAAAGAAAAAAAAAAAGAAAAAAAAAAACCAAAATCACAAAATCACTCCCAAATAAGCCCCCAAAACACCAAAAAACAAAAAACACCCCAAAACCCCAAATAGGCCCAAAGTAACACCCAAAACACCCCAACCCCCCTACAAAAATCCCAAAAAACAAAAAAAAAACCCTCCCAAAAATACCAAAATCAAATCCAAATAACTCCAAAATGGCCCCCAACACCCCCAAAAATATCCAAAAAATACAAAAAATACCCAAAAAACCCCCAAAACAAACTAAAAAATCCAAAACAATCCCTAATAACCCCAAAACGGCTCAAAAAAACGCCAAAGAACCAAAATAACATAAAATGCTCCCAAAAATACCAAGATCTGTAGAACACACACAAATAACCCCAATAAAATCAATTTTAAAAAAAAAAGGCAAAATCAAACAAAAAACAACAAAAAAAAAAAACCAAAAAAAAAAAAAAGGAAATGAAACAAACAAAAAATGTCCAGGGGGAAAATGGGAGGGAAAAGGGAATTAAAAATGTGGAAATATGGGGAAAAGGGAATAAAAACGAGATTAAAAGGGAATAAAAAGGGGGAAAGGAGAGGGAGGAAGGGAATAAAAAGTGAAAAAATAGGGGAGGAAAAATGGAATCTAAAAGCGGGGAAGCGAGGGGTAAAAAAGGTGGGAAATGAAATTAAAAGGGGGGGGAAATAGGGTGGGGAAAAGGGAACGAAAAGAGAGAAAAAGGAATTGAAAAAAAAAAAAAAAAAAAAAAAAGGAAATGAAACAAACAAAAAATGTCCAGGGGGAAAATGGGAGGGAAAAGGGAATTAAAATATGGGGAAAAGAGAATAAAAACGAGATTAAAAGGGAATAAAAAGGGGGAAAGGAGAGGGAGGAAGGGAATAAAAAGTGAAAAAATAGGGGAGGAAAAATGGAATCTAAAAGCGGGGAAGCGAGGGGTAAAAAAGGTGGGAAATGAAATTAAAAGGGGGGGAAACAGGGTGGGGAAAAGGGAACGAAAAGAGAGAAAAAGGAATTGAAAGAGGGAAAAGAGGGAGGGGGAAAGAGAATAAAAAACAGGGAAGGGGCAAGAAAAAGGTGGAAAAAAGGGGGGAAAATAAAAAAAAAGGGGGGTGGGAAGGAGGAATAACGGGGGAAATCCCAAAGGAAATCCCGAGGGGGGCTCTGACGTCACACGGGGACACGGGTGACAAGCCTCGCGGGGATGTCCCCAAGAGCCACCCGCCGGTTTGTCCCTGCTCAGCGACACCGCGGGGGAAACGCCACCAGCCCGCGGTCGCCCTTCGGCGTGCCGGAGAGGGGCGGCGTGGCCGCCGTTGTCGCGATATGTCGCGATATGTCGCGATATGTCGCGATGTGTCGCGCGCTGTCGCCGGTCCCGGGGCCGCGCCGCGCCCGCAAGGGGGCACTACGCACCGCGCCGCGGCTTTTATGCAAATATCCTGGCGGCGGCAGCCAATGGGAGCGCGCGGTAGGCGGCGGTTAAGAAGTCGCAGAAGGTGATTGGCTAAAGTCACGATTGGCGGGAGTGTTAGCGAATAAAAGGGAGCGGGGGGTGGAGCCGGAGATGGTGCGGAAGTACTCGATGCGTGGCAAACGGGGGGTGGGGCGGAGCCAGATGATTGACGGGAGTTGCAGCCAATTGAAGGTGGGAATGGGGTGGAGAGGCGGGGTCAGAGGGGGCGGGGTTTAGAGCGCGGGAAAGCGCGGGGGGCGAATGGGGGGGACATTTGAGGGGGGATTTTGGGGACACGGCCCGGCCAGGGGGGCCATGGCTGGGGGAAGGGACACGGAGGGGGTGGGAGCTGAGGACCCCCCGCAGGTGCAGGCGAGGGGCGGCTCTTCCTGCCGGGGGGGTCCCATTCACCACCGTAATGACCAGCCCTGGTCAGGGGGTGTCACTGCCACCTCCTGGGGTAGTGGCTCTGTCTATATCCCATGCCAATGTCCTTGTCCCATCCATGGTGTCCATATCCTATTTTGGTGCCCATATAACATTCCTGTGTCCATGTCCCATCCTGGTGTCCATATTCCATCCAGGTGTCCACATCCCCTTTATGGTGTCCATATACCATCCCTGTGTCCATATCCCATCCCAGTGTCCATATCCCCTCCATGATGTCCATATCCCACCCATGGTGTCCGTATCCTATCCTGGTGTCCTTATTCCATCCATGGTGTTGATATCCCCTCCATGGTGTCCATATCCCCTCCATGGTGTTCATATCCCACCCCAGTGTCCACATCCCATCCTGGTGTCCACATCCCATTTATGGTGCCAATATCCCATCCCAGTGTCCATATCTCATCCATGGTGTCCATACCCCACCCATGGTGTCCGTATCCCATCCATGGTATCCATATCCCATCCCTGTGTCCATATCCCATCCCAGTGTCCATATCCCATTTCCGGTGTCCAATCCCACTCCAGTGTCTATATCCCATTCATGATGTCCATATCCCACCTTCAGTGTCCATATCCCACCCCAACGTCCGTATCCCATCCCGGTGTTCATATCCCACCCCCATTTCCACGGCAGTAGGATGCACCCCCAAGCCCCACTTCTGTTGCCATAGCAACGGGACTCTCCCATGAGGCCCTGCCCCCGTTGTCACGGCAGCACCGACGCTACCCTTAAGCCCCGCCCACTTTCCATAGCAATGGGATGCTCCCATTAATCCCCGCCCCGGTTGCTGCAGCAGCAGAAACGCTCCCATTAAACCCCGCCCCTGTTGCCGTGGCAACCGCGACGCTCCCATTGAGCCCCGCCCTCGTTGCCACGGCAGCAGAGCCGCTTCCTCGAAGCCACGCCCCCGTTGCCATGGCAATGGGACGCTCCTTGAAGCTCCGCCCCGTTGCCATGGCGCCGCAACGCTCCGCGCATGCCCCGCCCCCGTTGCTATGGCACCGCGACGCTCCGCGCAGGCCCCGCCTCCGTTGCTATGGCACCGCGACGCTCCGGCAGGCCCCGCCCCCGTTGCTATGGCACCGAGACGCTCCGCGCATGCCCCGCCCCGTTGCTATGGCACCGAGACGCTCCGCGCAGGCCCCGCCCCCGTTGCCATGGCACCGAGACGCTGAGGCCGGGCCCTGATGGCGGCCAAGGGGCCGGAGCCGGGCCGGGACACGTCCCTGGTGTCCCTGTACCGCTGGCTGGACACGGTGCCACTGTCGCGGCCGCGCAGGAACATCGCCCGCGACTTCAGCGACGGGGGTTGGCCTTGCGGGGACACGGCGGGGTGGCCGGGGAGGGCTGTCGCCGTGGTGCCACCCGCAGCGTGTCCCCGCTGTCCCCGCAGTGCTGGCGGCCGAGGTGGTGAAGTTCTTCTTCCCCTCCCTGGTGGAGCTGCACAGCTTTGTCCCCACCAGCTCCACGGCGCAGAAGGCCGCCAACTGGGGCCACCTCAACAGGTAGGGACAGGTGCCACCAGCTCCGTGTGACACCCCCTGCCCCCCCACCCCCCGTCTGGGGTGTCCCCAGATTGTCCCCACCTGTCCTGCGGGCAGTGTCACCCTGTTTGTCACATCCTGACAGCTCCGTGTGGCCACAGAGACACCGTGACGTGCTGCGGGTGGGGATTGGTGTCCCCTAGTGTCCCCCTGGATCCGTCTGGGTCCCTCCATGTCCCTCCGTGTCCCTCCATGTCCCTCGGTGTCTCCTGTGTCCCTGTGTGTCCCCCTGTGTCCCCATTGTCCCTCTCTGTCCCCCTGTGTCCCTCTCTGTCCCCATGTGTCCCCCTGTGTTCCTCTCTATCCCTCTCTGTCCCTCTGTCCGTGTGTCCCTCTGTGTCCCCCTGTGTCCCCTGTGTCCCTCTGTCCCCTCCCTGGCCGTTCCATCGATCCCAAATTCCAGGAAAGTGCTGAGCAAGCTGAACCTGCGGCTCCCCGAGGAGATGATCCAGGCGCTGGTGCGGAGCCGGCCGGGAACGGCCGAGCAGCTCCTGCAGCTCCTGAGGGACAAAATCCTCCAGAGGCAGAGGAACAGCAAGGGAGGGGGCGGGAAGGTGAGGAGATCCCCAAAATGGGGAGGAAATCCCAAAAATGGGGAATTCCCGGGAATGGGAATCCCAGGAAAGGTTGGATATTGGGGTTTGGGGAAAGGTGGGATAGGGGAATGATCCCCGGGTGAGATTTAGGGTCATTCCAAACAGAAATCATTCCTGGGTTCTGCTCTGGAGCCAGGCTGGGAGAGCTGGGAATGCTCCCCTGGAAAAGGGAAAAATCCAGGGAATGCTCAGAGTCCCTGAAGCGGCTCCAGGAGAGCTGCAGAGGGACTGGGGACAAGGCCTGCAGGGACAGCACACAGGGAATGGCTCCCACTGGCAAAGGGGAGATTGGGCTGGGATCTTGGCAAGGAATTCCTGGCTGGGAGGGTGGGCAGGGGCTGGGCTGGAATTCCCAGAGCAGCTGTGGATCCCTGGCAGTGTCCCAGACCAGGCTGGGGTCACCTGGGCTGGTGGCAGGGGGTGTCCCAGGTGTGTCCCAGGTGTCCCAGGGGTTTCCCTGCCTTTCCTCAGCCCCCAGCAGAGCCGGCAGCACGGGACGAGGACGGGTACCTGGACACAGGTAAGGGATGGGGGATAAAGGATCCCAAAATCCCCCTCTGGGACTTTTTTGGGGTCCCTTGGAGGGGACGGCTGGGATCTTGGCAAGGAATTCCTGGCTGGGAGGGTGGGCAGGGGCTGGGCTGGAATTCCCAGAGCAGCTGTGGATCCCTGACAGTGTCCCAGACCAGGCTGGAGTCACCTGGGCTGGTGGCAGAGGGTGTCCCAGGTGTGTCCCAGGTGTCCCAGGGGTTTCCCTGCCTTTCCTCAGCCCCCAGCAGAGCCGGCAGCACGGGACGAGGACGGGTACCTGGACACAGGTAAGGGATGGGGGATAAAGGATCCCAAAATCCCCCTCTGGGACTTTTTTGGGGTCCCTTGGAGGGGACAGCAGTGTTGGGGTGGGGTTTGGGGGTCACTGTGGGGTTTGAGTGTCCCCTGTGGGGTCAAGGGGTCACTGTGGGGTTTGGGGGTCACTGTGAGGGCTTGTGGGGTCACTGTGGGTTTGGAGGGGACCCTTTGGTGTTTTGGGGTCACTGCGGTGATTTGGGCATCATTGAGGGGCGTCAGTGGATTTTTGTGGGCTTTGGGGTGTCCCCATGGAGGTCTGGGGGTCCCTGTGGTGGTTTGGGGTCACTGTGAGGGTTTGGGGTCACTGTGGAGTTTGGGGTGTCCCCATGGGGGTTTGGGGTGTCCCCATGGGGGTCAGGGTGTCCCCATGGGGGTTTGGGGTGTCCCCATGGGGGTTTGGGGTCTCTGTGAGGTTTGGGGTGTCCCCACGGGGGTCAGGGTGTCCCCCTATGGCTCTTGGGTTATTTTGTGGGTCAGGGCTTCACCGTGGGGTTTGGGGGTCACTGCGGTGGCTCTGGCTGTCCCCGAGTGTCCCCTGCGTGTCCCCGCGGGAGACCAGGACATTCCCGTGGGATCGGGGGACAGGATTTGGGCACCTCCCCTCCGGGGGTCACGGCAGGGCTCAGTGCTGTCCCCACGGCCGTGTCCCCGCGCCAGGGTGGTGACAGTGCCAGCGCAGCCCGGGGCTGGCCCTGGCGACATGCGACAGCAGCTGGCGGAGCGCGAGCAGGCGCTGCAGCTGGCGCGGGACACGATCCAGGTGAGCCCATCCCAAATCCCGGAGCAGGAACGATCCTGGATGCGCGGGGACATCCCGGGTGACACGCGCGACACTGTCCTGTCCCCGCGCCCTTCTTCCCGGCTTTTCCCTGTCCCCCTTTTTCAGCTTTTCCCTGTCCCTTCTTCCATAAAATTTTCCCTGTTCCCCTCTCTCGTCCATCCTTACGTAAAATTTCTCCTGTCCCTCTTTCCCGGCTTTTTCCCGGGTTTTTCCTGGTTTTTCCCTGTCCCTTCTTCTCTAAAATTTTCCGTGTCCCTCCTTCCCGGCTTTTCCCTGTCCTCCTTTTCCGGCTTTTCCCGGTTCCTCCTTCCCTAAAATTTTCCTTGTCCCTCCTTCCCAGCTTTTCCGGGCTTTTCCCGATCCTTCCTTCCCGGCTTTCCCTGTCCCTTCTTTCCTAAAATTCTCCCTGTCCCCATTTCCCGGTTTTTCCCTCTTCCCCCTTTCCCAGATTTTCCCGGTTCCTTCTCTAAAATTTTCCCTGTCCTTCCTTCCCGGCTTTTCCCGGTTTCTCCAGGTTGTTCCCTGTCCCTTCTTCCCTAAAATTTTCCATGTCCCACCTTCCCAGATTTTCTCTGTCCCCCTTTCCCGGTTTTTCTGTGTTCCCTATTCCCATCTTTTCCCTGTCCCCCTATCCTGGCTTTTCTCAGTCCCTTCTTCCTTAAAATTTTCCATGTCCTCCTTCCCGGCTTTTCCCGAATTTTCGCGAATTTTTCCGGCTTTTTTCTGTGCCGCCTTTCCCGGTTTTTCCCTATTTTTCCCGATCCCCCCCTTTCCACTTTTCCCCGTCCTTTAAATTTCCCCTGAAATCCGGCTTTATCCCGGCGCAGATGGAAATTTCGGGAAGGGCCGGGATTCTGAGGGATATCCGGGAATGGGAACAGAGGGATACCTGGAATTCCCATTTTATTTTTTATGGGAAAGGGATCGGAACGCCAAATGCATCACTTCTTCTCAGTGGGGAAAAAAAAAAAAAAAAACCAAAATTCCTCTGGGAGAAAACCCAAAAAAAATCCGTTTTCCCACATTCCCTGCTCTGGGAAGACCCCCTGGAACGGGTTTGGGATTTGGGGGTTTTGGGGATTTGGGATTTTGGGGCTCGGGGATTTGGGATTTGGCTCCCAAATCCCTGGGGAACGGCAGATCCTGCAGGCCAAGGTGGGGCGGCTGGAGCAGCTCCTGCTCCTCAAGAACCTCCGCATCGACGAGCTGAGCCGGCGGCTGCAGCAGCTCCAGGGCCAGCGCCGCTGACAGGCGACAGCGACACGGCTGGCACCGCGGGGACAGCCCGGGGACGGCCTGGGGACAGCCTGGGGACAGCCAGGGGACAGCCCGGGGACAGCCCGGTGGCCCCGTTCGCCCAAAGCCCGGCGCGGCTGCGGCGCTGGGCATTAAAGAGTTGGATCCTGGCGGGGCCAGAGCGGCGTGAGGGGACACTGGGGACAATGGGGACACTGGGGGGACACTGTGGGGACAGCGGGGACACTGTGGAGACACTGTGGGGACACTGGGGGGACAGCAGTGGGGACACTGGGGACAGCAGTGGGGACACTGTGGGGACAGCAGGGACACTGTGGGGACAGCAGTGGGGACACTGGGGACAGCAGTGGGGGTAGCAGGAAGGGGACAGCACTGGGGACACTGCTGGGACACTGTGGGGACAGCGGTGGGGTCACTGTGGGGACACTGTGGGGACAATGGGAACACCACGGGGACAGCACTGGGGCCACTGGAGGGGCACTGTGGGGACATCAGGGAGGGGATGGAACTATGGGGACATAGAGGGTAGAGGGTGGCATATGGGGACATTATCGTGGAGGTGGCACTACGGGGACATGGTTGTGGGGACAGCAGCGTGTGGACATCAGCGTGGAGGTGGCAGTGTGGGGACGCAATGGGGACAGTGTGGGGGACATTAGAGCAGGGACATCAGGGCAGGGACATCAGGGTGGGGACACAGTGGGGACATCAAGGAAGGACAGCAGAGTGGGAACATTGTGGGGACACCATGGGGACACCATGGGGACACTGTGGGGACAGTGGGGACAGCAGGGACACTGTGGGGACAGCAGTGGGGGTAGAAGGGAGGGGACAGCACTGGGGACACTGCTGGGACACTGTGGGGACAGCAGGGGGAACACCGAGGGGACACTGGGGACACTGTGGGGACAGTGGTGGGGTCACTGTGGGGGACACTGTGGGGACAATGGGAACACCATGGGGACAGCACTGGGGACACTGGGGGGGCACTGTGGGGACAGCAGGGAAGGGGTGGAACTATGGGGACATCATTGTGGGGACAGCAGGGTAGAGGTGGCATATGGGGACATTATCGTGGAGGTGGCACTACGGGGACATGGTTGTGGGGACAGCAGCGTGGAGGTGGCAGTGTGGGGACACAATGGGGACAGTGTGGGGGACATTAGAGCAAGGACATCAGGGCAGGGACATCAGGGTGGGGACACAGTGGGGACATCAAGGAAGGGACAGCAGCGTGGGGACATTGTGGGGACACCATGGGGACACCATGGGGACACTGTGGGGACAGCAGTGTGGGAGGGGGGACATTGCATGGGGACATCAGGGTGAGGACAGCAGAGAGGGGACAGCAGGGTGGGCATGGCAGTGTAGGGACACCATGGGGACACTTTGGGGACAACACTGGGGACAGCAAGGAGGGGACACCGTGGGGAAAACATTGTGGGGACATCAGGGTGGGGACACTGTGGGGACATCGGGGGGACATCAGAATGGGGGGGAGGGGACATCGGGGAGGACAGCAGAGTGGGGACACCGTGGGGACACTGTGGGGACACTGTGGGGACACTGTGGGGACGCCGTGGGGACACCCTGGGGACTCGGTGGCCGCTCCTCCCGCCCGGTGGCCGCCGGGATTTAATCCCTTCCCAAATCCCGTTGTTTTTGTAATCCCGGAGCAAATCCGCGCCCGGCGCTGGGAGGTGACAGCGACATCCCCCGTGTCCCCCCCCCAGGTGACATCCCCAGCCACGGGGACACGCCCAGGCGTGGCTCTGGGGACCGTCCCTGTGCCAGAGTGGCTTTTTAAGGAAAACCTGGAATTTCCGGCCCATGTGGGAATGGGGGGACAATCCGGGCCCTGGTGTCCCCTCCCTTGGGGACAAGCCGGGTGTGATGTCACCGTGCCGGTGACAAGGACACAGCCGGGGCTCCGGGGACCGCTGGGAATGTGGATCCCGAGTTTCTGGGAATGTGGATCCCGGGTTTTTAAGCGTTCCAGCAGCTGGAGCAGCCCCCGGGGGTGACATTGTCCCCTCTGTCCCTCACGTGTCCCCTGACCCCGCTGTCCCCCCGGCATTCCCGGGGGACAATCCCGGCACGCTCCGGATGGGAACTGGCGCCATTCCCTGTCCCCTGTCCCCGTGGGAAGGGACATGGAGCTCGGGATGGGGACAGGAGGGACAGGGGTGGGTGTTCCCAGGATGGGCGGGAGCAGGGAATGGGGTGGGAGTGGGATTGGATTGGGATTGGGATTGGGATTGGGATTGGAATGGGATTGGGATGGGGATGGGATTGGGATTGGGATTGGGATGGGATAAGGATTGGGATTGGATTGGGATTGGGATTGGGATTGGGATTGGGATTGGGATTAGGATTGGGATTGGATTGGGATTGGGATTGGGATTGGGATTGGGATTGGGATTGGGATTGGGATTGGGATGGGATTGGGATTGGGATGAGACAGGATGACAGAAAATGAGATGGGGATAGGATGAGATTGGATGGGAAGGAATTGGGATTGTTTGGGATGAGATGGATGGGATGGAGCTGAGATGGGATCAGATTGGGATAAAATAGGATGAGAGAGATGGATGGAACAGGATTGGGATGGGAAGGAATTGGGATGATTTGCGATGGGATGGATGGCTGGAATTGGGATGGGATGGAGCTGAGATGAGATGGGATCAGATGGGATGGGAGGATCTGGGATCAGACGGGATGAGAAGAAATTAAATAGGGAGGAAATTGTGATAGGAGAGAACTGAAATGGGATGGGAAGGAATTGGGGTGCAGTGGGATGGGACGGGAAGGAACTGGGATAATTCGGGATTGGGTGGATCTGATGGAATTGGGATGAGATGAAAGGGAAGGGAAAGGGAAAGGGAAAGGGAAAGGGAAAGGGAAAAGGAAAGGAAAGGAAAGGAAAGGAAAGGCCCCTCCCCCCCCCCTCCCCGTTTCCATGGCAACGCCCCCCGCACCTCCCCACGGCCCACAAGGGGGCGCCCCGTGGCGCGCGCGTCCTTCTTCATTGGCTGCCCGCCCCTTAGCCCCGCCCACAAACCCCGCCCCTTAGCAACAATCCCGCCCCTTAGCAACTCCCGTTAAGCACCACCCTGGGCGTGGCCTGGAGGCGTGACCGGCGTGCGCGCTCACCAATGGGAGAGCGAGGTGGGGGCGCGCCAGCCAATGGGAGCGAGGGGGCGTGTCCCCACAGCGGGGAAGCGCGCAGCGGGAGCGGCGGGGTGAGCGGGGCACGGCGACACCGGGGGGACACGGGGGACACCGGGGGGACACCGGGGGACAGCCGGGGGGTGGCAGAGGGGCCGGGGCAGCCCCGCGGAGCGGCGGGCGGGCCGCGGGCGATGGCGGAGGTGAAGCGGGCTCGGGAAAGGGGGGGTGGGGACAATCGCGGCCGCGCTGTCCCCTCGCGGTGTCACCTGTCACCCCCATCCCAAACCCCTGGATTTTTTCCCCCCCTCCGGGAGAGGTTCCCCCCTTCCATTCCCTCTCGGTTTTCTTTTATCCCGGTTTTTTTTTGTTTTTTTGGGGTTTTTTTCCCCCGAAATTTTTGGGGTTTTGGCGTTTTGGGGTTTGCACTTCCCAATCCCCGCCGGCATTCCCGCTCCCATGGGGCGATCCCAAGAAGGAGGAGGAGGAGGAGGTTTGACCCTCCAATTCCATCCCGGGGATTTTTTTGTTTTTTGGGTTTTTTTGGGATGTCACATCCCGAATTCCCGGCTGGCGGTGGCGTCTCCGCGCGCCGTTCATCCCGGGAAAAACGATTTGGGAAAGGCTCCAAGTTTGGAATCTGATCTCCCGTTTATCCCGGGAAAAGAAAAGCAATTTGGGAAAGGCTCCAGCGCCGGGAATCTGGAAAAAAAAAAAAAAATCCCAAACCTCGGGGGCGGTTTTTTTTTGGGGATGGGGAAAAAGGGGGAAACTGAGGCACGCGCGGCGGAGGGAATTCCCTAATCCCCGCTTTTCCCGGAGATTTGGGATGAGGGAATGCCCGTTCCAGGCCCTGGAGCTGCCGCTGGCTCCTCCCCGCCAGTGTCGCGGCCACCTCGGGGCCACCAAGGGGCCACCTCGGGGCCACCTCGGGGCCACCACGGGGCCACCAAGGGGCCACCACGGTCCCCGCAATGGGATGGGAATATGGGACTGAACTGGAGCCTTCCCATTCCCGCCCCATTCCCGCAGAATTCCCGGACGATGCCCCCCGGCCGCTGAAAGTGGGGACAGCGACATCGCCGCGCGGCGCCGGGGACAGATGGCGACAGCCGGCAAGGGTGAGTCCCCTGTGCCCTCCCTGTCCCCGGATCTTTTTTTTTTTTTTTTTTTTTTTTTCCCGAAATTTTGGGGTTTTTCCCGGCGTTTTGGGGTCTGCACTTCCCAATCCCCGCCGGCATTCCCGCTCCCATGGGGCGATCCCAAGAAGGAGGAGGAGGAGGAGGTTTGACCCTCCAATTCCATCCCGGGGATTTTTTTGTTTTTTGGGTTTTTTTGGGATGTCACATCCCGAATTCCCGGCTGGCGGTGGCGTCTCCGCGCGCCGTTCATCCCGGGAAAAACGATTTGGGAAAGGCTCCAAGTTTGGAATCTGATCTCCCGTTTATCCCGGGAAAAGAAAAGCAATTTGGGAAAGGCTCCAGCGCCGGGAATCTGGAAAAAAAAAAAAAAATCCCAAACCTCGGGGGGGGTTTTTTTTTGGGGATGGGGAAAAAGGGGGAAACTGAGGCACGCGCGGCGGAGGGAATTCCCTAATCCCCGCTTTTCCCGGAGATTTGGGATGAGGGAATGCCCGTTCCAGGCCCTGGCGCTGCCGCTGGCTCCTCCCCGCCAGTGTCGCGGCCACCTCGGGGCCACCAAGGGGCCACCTCGGGGCCACCTCGGGGCCACCACGGGGCCACCAAGGGGCCACCACGGTCCCCGCAATGGGATGGGAATATGGGACTGAACTGGAGCCTTCCCATTCCCGCCCCATTCCCGCAGAATTCCCGGACGATGCCCCCCGGCCGCTGAAAGTGGGGACAGCGACATCGCCGCGCGGCGCCGGGGACAGATGGC